TTGACGTTAATATTCCTCTTCCACATTTCCCTTCAAATTGGGGAGGATAAAAAAACGCAAATGCCACCTTCCAGGATCTAGTGACTGAGAATTTAATGCCAGAGACCGTCCCAAGCGAAGGGCAACAGGGCTGCGACAGGGCCATTTTACGGGATGTAAAACGGTCGGACCCCGTTGGTCTCCGCTGGGCAATTACAGTACAGGTTAAACAGCCACTGGCAGAGATTATTTCTGTTGAATCTTTTCCAACATTTTTAAAAGAATTTTTTTTTTTAAAGAAAAAATATCTATTTGCTGATGCAAAGAAAAATAAATATACTATTTAATAAAATAAAAATTAAGGCCTCTTTTAAAAGCAGCTGTGTTTAAAAAGCCAGAGCCAACACTATTTTGCATGCTGGAGCATACACTAATCAGGGGAAAAAAATGATGCTTCTATTTGATTTCCTATTTTTCATATCTGTTATATTTCGGGAAGTTTTTTTGAAAAAGTAGAGACAGGGAAAATGCTGAAATAGTTATAGCTAGAGAAAAAAAAAATAGGGGGGAAAACAATAAAGCCGATAGCGTACTCTACCAGCGTAAGCATTTCTATCACATGTCCAGCAAACGTGGGCCACAACAAAGCGCTTTCCTTTTAGAGGACGGCTGTCTGTCTGTGCCGCTGAGGGCAGGAACAAACAAAAGCTTTTCTGGAAAACAGAAACTGTCACTTGTTTCTTTACTTCGCGCGTGGAATACAAACACGTTTCACTCCGATTGCTGCTTTACAGATCGCGGGCAGCCCGCCTCAAGTCTGAATCCCTCTTTCTCGCCTTCCCCCCCCGCCAAGAAAGGCTCTCGCCCAGCCAACTCGCTTGAGCCGCCGGAGAACAACGTGGCCTCACAGAAGAAACGGGAGTTTTGTCCTATTTGGGCATAGGGGGAAATCAAACCTGTTTCGCTCCCCGGGGAATCCGGACAGGTTAAGTCAGGCTTAGCCGTAGTAACCCGGCGAGCGCTGCCTCGGGCTGCGGCCG